CCCCCCCCCCCAATACCCCCCTTCGCTACCGCCCTGGTAATCGTTGTATATACAGGGTGTATAACAAAAACTGAACATATTTGAAATTGCTCTCAATTTCGCAAAACAGCTCGTGGTATCAAGTTTTTGTTATATATATAGATTCCGTAAGTACCCATAATGTAGAATATGAAAAAAATACTCGAACTCTAAATTATGTAAACCAGGGGGGTGTTTCTTTTCCAACGACTATGGCTTGCGCACGAAATTTAAAAGCTTTAATCATATTTTGAGTTAATGGATGGAAAATTTGTTGGGTTTTTATTTACTGTAAAAAATTTCATTTTCCTTTAACTATTCATTTTTTTCCTATAAAATCAGCTATTCGCATGCTTAATTAATGCCTTTAATTACCTAATTTGCGTATTGCTGGCATATGCAAATTAGGCAAAGGCATTAACTAAGCAATCCTGCAAAAGGCTGATTCTTTTAGGAAAAAAATGTAAGTTTGCGTGAATAGTTAAAGGGCTTAAACTGAAGCAAATTGTCTGAACTTTCGTGACGCAATTAAACACCCAACACATTTTTTCACCCATTAACTCAAAATACGATTAAAGCTTTTAAATCTCGTGCGCAAGCTATTTTTAGTTTGTTGGAAAAGAAAAAAGACACTCCCCTGGTTTACAAAACTGGAATTGGGATGTTGTTTCGCACCTTCCGAACTTTCTTGAATTGAAATTCCTATTTGCAAACAAACATTTTCTTTATTTCAAGGAACTGCGGTGAAAACACTCCAAAATAAAAGAATACAAAACAGCCCAGTACTACTTTTTTCAACTCCATCGCCGTCTGAGATAAACGTTCGACGCAAAGAATCCACAACCATCTCCCATTCAAATGAGACAGAATGGCAAAACAATTACAGTAAAAACATATCTTCATTGGAAAATCAATTTCTTCACCAGAATGACTTGAGAGAAACAGCCAAAAGAGAAACGTTCGCTTCACTGACAACTCAACATCTCCGGAACAGACGTGAAATTGATGCGATCTTGGAAAGTCAGACTGAATACGCCAATTTTACCTATACTATAAAGTACGAAGATAACTACAGAGTATGGAACAACTTTTCAATGATGTACCAAAGCCGAATGTACCGTTATAACGAGTACAGAGTAACGGACGATGGTCTACAAGTTTGTAATTCTTCTGACCCCCTTAATAAACACAGATGGTGGGATTTGATTGCTCGGGAAAAGGAAGTGTTGGCTTCCAAACATTGTAGTGTATCCGTGGACGTATTTTACTACTCCAATTACACATTATACAAAAACTTTACTGTTTTCTTCAAACCTACTGAGCAGAGTTTCCCAAGGCAAGATTACGGAGTGACTTTTGGATATTTTGCAATTTGTTCGGCAAAGCTTAATCTATCCTGCAATGATTATTTGGTTGAAGTGAAACACGGCGATCAGTACAACGTTTTGCAAAACTTTTCATTGTTTTACAACAACAAGATGTATGATTATCGCGAATATCGACTCGAAAACGAAGGTCTTGAAATGTGTGCTTCCAATGATTCAAGAATTCAGACCATTTGGAGAACTCGAAATTCTTGGATAAAGTCGAAATGCATATTAAAATGCCTCAAATCTCTTTCTATGTTATCAACAAGGTACTACACTGTGAATAAGCAGCTCATTGTCTATGTCGCAGTTACAAGTCAATATTTCACAAGAAATGCCTATGGAGTGAAAAACGGCCAACTTTATATATGCCAAGAAAAGTTCAGACCCACATCAATCGAGTATACCCAGGAAGATCTATTAATGTGCAACGATTCAATCATCAATATAAAATACGATGATGAATACAAAGTTGAGATCGACTTTTCAATACTCTATAAGAACAAGGTGTACGATTATACCGAGTATCGAGTTCTGAATGATAACATCAAGATTTGTAACTCCACTGATAACTACGTAAGAAATATTTGGAAAGTACGCAATAAATGGGTGAAGGCGACAATGCATGAAAAAAGTTGCAGTAAACCCATTAGAACCTTTCGGTTGAACCGAAAGTATTACTCTGTGAATAAGCAGCTCACTGTCTATGACGCACCTGCGAGTCAAAATTTCACAAGAAATGACTATGGGGTGAAAGACGGTAGACCTTATATATGTCAAGAAAAGTTCAAACCCACATCAACAGAGTATACCCAGGAAGATCTATTAGTGTGCAACGATTCAATCATCAATATAAAATACGATGATGAATACAAGGTTCGGACTGACTTTTCAATACTCGATAAGAACAAGGTGTACGATTATACTGAGTATCGAGTTTTGAAAGATAGCATAAAGATTTGCAAATCCGCTGATAGATACGTAAAGAATATTTGGAAAGTACGCAATAAATGGGTAGAGGCGAGAATGCATGAAAAAAGTTGCAATAAACCCATTAGAACATCTCGGTTGCCCCAAAAGTATTACATTGTGAATAAGCAGTTCACTGTCTATTACGCAGCTAGGAGTCAACATTTCACAAGAAACGACTATGGGGTGAAAGACGGTAGACCTTATATATGCCAAGAAAAGTTCAAATCCAAATCAACAGAGTATAGCCAGAGAGATCTATTAATGTGCAAAGATTCAATCATCAATATAAAATACGATGATGAATACAAAGTTCGGACTGACTTTTCAATACTCTATAAGAACAAGGTGTACGATTATACTGAGTATCGAGTTTTGAAAGATAGCATAAAGATTTGCAAATCCGCTGATAGATACGTAAGGAATATTTGGAAAGTACGCAATAAATGGGTAGAGGCGAGAATGCATGAAAAAAGTTGCAATAAACCCATTAGAACGTCTCGGTTGCCCCGAAAGTATTACATTGTGAATAAGCAGTTCACTGTCTATTACGCAGCTAGGAGTCAACATTTCACAAGAAACGACTATGGGGTGAAAGACGGTAAACTTTATATATGCAGCGAAAAGTTAAGACCCATATCAACAGAGTATAGCCAGAAAGATCTATTAATGTGCAACGATTCAATCATCAATATAAAATACGATGCTGAATACAAAGTTCGGACTGACTTTTCAATACTCTATCAGAACAAGGTGTACGATTATACCGAGTATCGAGTTCTGAATGATGGCATAAAGATTTGTAACTCCATTGATAACTACGTACGGAATATTTCGAAAGTACGTAATGAGTGGGTAGAGGCGAGAATGCATGAAAAAAGTTGCAATAAACCCATTAGAACATCTCGGTTGCCCCGAAAGTATTACATTGTGAATAAGCAGTTCACTGTCTATTACGCAGCTAGGAGTCAACATTTCACAAGAAACGACTATGGGGTGAAAGACGGTAAACTTTATATATGCAGCGAAAAGTTAAGACCCATATCAACAGAGTATAGCCAGAAAGATCTATTAATGTGCAACGATTCAATCATCAATATAAAATACGATGCTGAATACAAAGTTCGGACTGACTTTTCAATACTCTATCAGAACAAGGTGTACGATTATACCGAGTATCGAGTTCTGAATGATGGCATAAAGATTTGTAACTCCATTGATAACTACGTACGGAATATTTCGAAAGTACGTAATGAGTGGGTAGAGGCGAGAATGCATGAAAAAAGTTGCAATAAACCCATTAGAACATCTCGGTTGCCCCGAAAGTATTACATTGTGAATAAGCAGTTCACTGTCTATTACGCAGCTAGGAGTCAACATTTCACAAGAAACGACTATGGGGTGAAAGACGGTAAACTTTATATATGCAGCGAAAAGTTAAGACCCATATCAACAGAGCATAGCCAGAAAGATCTATTAATGTGCAACGATTCAATCATCAATATACAATACGATGCTGAATACAAAGTTCGGACTGACTTTTCAATACTCTATCAGAACAAGGTGTACGATTATACTGAGTATCGAGTTCTGAATGATGGCATAAAGATTTGTAACTCCACTGATAACTACGTACGGAATATTTGGAAAGTACGTAATAAGTGGGTAGAGGCGAGAATGCATGAAAAAAGTTGCAATAAACCCATTAGAACCGTTCGGATGTACCGAAAGTATTACGCTGTGAATAAGGAGTTCACTGTCTATGACGCACCTCCGAGCCAATATTTCACAAGAAATAGCTATGGGGTGAAAGACGATAGACCTTATATATGCGAAGAAAAGTTAAGATCCTCATCAACAGAGTATACCCAGGAAGATCTATTAATATGCAACGATTCAATCATCAATATAAAATACGATGATGAATACAAAGTTCGGATTGACTTTTCAATACTCTGTAAAAACAAGGTGTACGATTATACTGAGTATCGAGTTCTGAATACAGATAGCATAAAGATTTGTAACTCCACTGATAACTACGTAAGGAATATTTGGAAAGCACGCAATATATGGGTGAAGGCGAATATATATGGAAAAAGTTGCAATAAACCCATTACATACATTCAGTTCGACCGATGGGAATACACTGTGCTTCAGAATTTTGGAATTCTGATTTCGGCAACAAAGCAGCTGATAACAAAGTACGATTATGCTGTATATGAAGGTAAACTTATAACATGTGTGACCGAATGCGCCAATTTTACCTTTACTATAAAGTATGAAGATGAATACAGAGTATGGAACAACTTCTCAATGATGTACCAAGGTCGAATGTACTATTATGATGAGTACAGAATAACGGACGATGGTCTACAAGTTTGTAATTCTTCTGACCGTCTCATTAAAGAAAAATGGCGGAATTTCATTGTTTCGGAAAAAATAACGACAGCTTTCAAACATTGTAACGTATCTGTGGACGGTTTTTACTCCGAAAATTACACATTACATACAAACTTAACTGTTTTCTTCAAACCTACCAATCAAAATTTCACAAGGCAGGACTACGGAGTGATTATGGGGTATTTTGCAATTTGTTCAAGAAAGCTCAGATTGTCATGCAATGATGATTTGGTCAAAGTAAAGTACGATGAACAATACAATGTGTTTAAAAACTTTTCGCTTGTTTCCAACGGGAAGATGTACGATTATCGCGAATATCGATTAAGCCACGACAGTCTTGAAATGTGTGCTTCCAATGATTCAAGAGTCCAAGCGATTTGGAGAACGCGAAATTCGTGGCAAAAGTCATTACCCGCATTATGTTATCGTTCTTATAAATTAAATGCAAGATACTACACTGTGACAAAGCAGTTTGCTGTGTATTCGGCAGATAACGGTCAATATTTCAAAAGAAATGACTATGCGGTGCTAGACGGTAAACCTTATGTATGCGGCAAAGAAAACCTAAGTCCTATTTACGTAATTTCAAACTTTAAGATTATTATAGCACCATTATGTGCTTTAGCGCTTTCTATTATTTCTTTGCTATTGTTGTTGATAGTTTACTGCGTGCTTCCAGAACTGCGCACACTTCCTGGTTTGAATTTAATGAGTTTTAGCTTCGCCATGTTGTTGTGGCAGACTTACCTTGTAGTATTTTTGTCACTGTATTCTCATGTAGGTAAACTGTTTGAGATACCGTGTGCTAGGCTGTTTGTAGCAAATAAGTTTATGACGTATAGTATAATTATGAATGCTGCGGTTAACATCTACCACTTAAGGAACACATTTTGTGGGAATATTCTAGTGAAATCTGATGAACAGAAGAAGTGGAACAGGTTTTTGAAGTATAGTTTCTTTAGCTGGGGAGTTCCTGTTATTATAACGATTGTTTACATTGTGCTAGCAAAGAAAAATGTTCTAAGGTTTGATCAAAATATAGCGTCTATGTCGATAAAGAATGACGTTCAATCGAGCTTAAGATTTTATCGACGCAATGCGAATGGAGATGCGACGGCAAATAATATGGGGATTTATCACCGTATTGCTTCCTTGAGGGGAGATGCCCTGCAGTCAAAGTGGAGGTTAAATCAAAGCACTGACACTGTACTTGAAGATGCCCAGACAAGGTTAAATCAAAGCACTGACACTGTACTTGAAGATGTCCAGACGAGGTTTAATCAAAGCACTGTACTTGGGAAGGAAGATGCAACGGAAGATGATGCAAGGATTTATCAACCTATTGTATCTTTAAAGAAAGATGTTCAGTCAAGCTTAAAGTTTTATCAACGCATTGTATTCGCGAATGGAGATGGGAAGGAAGATGATGCAAGGATTTATCAACAGATCTCTGGAGATTGTATCAATGGTCGAATTACTCCCGATTGGTCAGCTGCTGTTGATGTATATGGTATTCAAGGTTGTCTTTTGTTGTACATTATTGGAATGTTCATCTTCACTGCTTATCGAATTCGCCAAAAACTCAAGGCAAGCAAGAACATTGCACAGAAATCGAACATTGTTAAGCGTCATAAATTTGTCATATTGCTCAAGCTGTCAACCACTACAGCCTTAAGTTATTGGTTTCCTCTCTTCATATCTAGAATCGTGGATTTTGATTTCGACATAAAGATAGCGTTGTATACTGTAACGTTGCTTACTGGTGCCTACATTGGTATTGCGTTTGTCTTCACACGAAGAAATTATCAGTTGTTCAAGAAAAAATATTTCCCAGCAAAGAATAAGCCGCCAGTTAACGAAATTCCGCTGGATAAACTATAGGAGTATAGAATCTGTAATCACGTGCATTTGCAAAAAAAATAATGTCTTGTATCCAATGTAAAAACGCTTATAG